TAGAACTGCGGTTTTGACTTGGTCTAAATCCAGGAGCTCAGAATTTAAAGAGAAATAGAAACACCACCTTCAAAAGTATATAAGACCTAGATGAAGGATTAGAAATAGTACATAGACCAAGAAGCGATAATTTCCTATTTAGATAGTTTTGTTTAATAAATATTTCTGTGACTTTTTTTTTTTACTTACCCCAGTATAAGCAATGAAGATTAATAGCCTGGTTAAGACAAAAGAAAAAACTCAATAACATTGTAATACCATCTGTTGAGCAGATATCTCACATCCAGTAACTGCAAACAGAATGTCATGCGTAGGATATAAGACCACACTTCAAAGGTATGAATAAAAGGAATATGGGCCATTCCCTCCCCTGTACATACATCTTGGAGGAGCCAAACTTTAAAATCACTAACAGGATCTTAGCTCTTTGGGTGCTACAGGTGCATATCACACAAGACTGCTAATTGAAAGCTTGTAAATTCTAGTTCACACAGAAGACCCTCAGAAGAAAGGCTAGGTAATCGGCCCACTTCTAAAAATTAGTAATTGAAAGCTTTATAGAGCATAGTTCTATTATGGCACATTTGGCATCACCATGATATAAAACTGACTCAACAGCAAGCCATGTTAAGACAGGAGTAATCAGAAGTGTTGTAATTGATAAAGCCTTATATGATAGCTGTGTTGGAAAGAACCTGAGCCTTTCTGCCCTTTTTATCTTTGGTGGGTGACCGGCCTTCAGCTAACCCGGGAAAACCAGGCGTAAAGCTGACATTAGCAAGTGAGTTTAAAGCAAAGTAGTCAACCCTTCCTTTCTAGGCCCAACTTTACTTGCAAGAATATAAAGGGCATCCTGGGTTAGAAACAGATAATATGCAATAGTTAGAGTTTACTGTGTAAATGTTTTTCTGATACATACATAATATTTTTTTCTTTCTCTCTTCTAGGGCTATTTCCTTCTTCGATTCCTTGCCAAAAGAGTTGGAGAGGAAATCTATTTTTCATGTTTAAGGACGTTTGTGCACACATTTCATGGACAGTTGATTCTTTCCCAGGTAATCTAGGGATTCTCATGCCTTTATTATGTACAGTTGGAGGGGTCTTGACATGTAAGTATTAGATGACAAGAGTACTGATTGCTGAAGACGTAATGGTTGCAGAAGCAAATGTGGTGAAGAAAACTGATGATACCCAACTATCAAAAGATATAGCATCTAGGGTCTTAAAGGCTTGAAGTTACACAAGCAGCCATCTAGCAGAGAAGCAACAACCCCACATGAGAACGAAGTAGGTCGGAGCAGACACCCAAAAGCCATCTGTAGACAATAGGACATCCCCTCACAGAAGGGTCACAAGGAAGAGATGAGTCAAACAGGGTGGATTATAGCACCAATGAAACACACAATATTCCTCTTGTTCTTTAATGCTTGCTGACCCCCCACTATCATGACCCCAGTCCTGACTTTCAGCTCTTGCTAGACTGGAGCATGTACACTGGTACACGTAAGAGCTCACACACACAGAATCCAGGTCAGATAAATCCCTCAGGAACAGAAATGGGAGTAGCAATACCAGGAGGGTAGGGAGAAGGTGAGGTGAGGTGAGGAGGAAGGGGGAACCGATCGACACATAACACACACACACTCCCCACACACACCCCACACCCCGTGGTAAACAACAGAAATGTGGCTGAAGGAGACAGTAGTAGGTGTAAGATATGAAAACACTAATACTTTATAATTTATTAAGTGGTCATGGAGATGGGGGGGGAAGGAGCTGATATCAAAGGCTCAAATAGAAAGCAACTGTTTAGAAAATGATGATGGAAATATATGTACAAATATGCTTGATAAAATTGATGTATGGAATTTTATAA